CCAGCCAAGCTCTAACATTTGTAGCAAAATGGGCAGGGGCTCCATCCTGCTGAAACCAGAAAACGGGGATTGTGTTGGCAGGGCAGTCCTGTCGATTCCAACCTCAATCATGTTGATAAATTTGCTTGAAATCATTATTCTCTTCTTGCGAGATAGAAGCGCTCCATATTTATAAATAATAGATGCTAAACAATAAAATAAATCAGGCATTCCACTACATTGACTACGGCGTATGGTACTAGTAACAAATTAGCCAATTCCCTTAGAGTTGACGTTGTACAGGAAAAAGTACCTAAAATATATTATTAGATATATAAAAAACAATATTTTTTTACGTACCACAGCTGATTATTACGTGAGAATTAGTGAGGCACAATGAAGTGGTAATCACGCAGGTGAAGACACGGCAGGTGCGGCAACCCAAACTGAATCGTGTGTTCTTTGGGCTAACCTGCCGCTACCTTCAGCTCGGATAAGTCAAACCCTGCTTTTCTTGGAACTCATATATATATCCTCACTATTTCGAGTCTACTATACTGACTTTTTCGTATCGTTACGTTTTTGTTCCCCAGATCTTCAACCTTATTTTGGAGCTATACACAGACAGTATTTTTCCATCCAGTTACTACCAACATTTCCCTAGACTAGACATTTTCCCGCGCCTACAGTGTTTTATGAGATTCATTGTTGTTAGCCATCATTCCTTAGATTAACCAATGTCGTCCTTCGTTACGCATTTCTTTTTGATACGTTTATCAATTCTATCAATAAATCTCATAAAACAGACGCGGTTCAGTTAAGGTGGCTACACCTGCCATGTCGTGACCTGCGTGGTTACCACTTCATTGTGCCCCACTAGTTCTCGCGTAATAATCAGCTGTGGTACGCAAAAAATAGTTTTTATATATCTAATAATATATTTTTGGGTAATTTTTCCTGTACAACGTTAACTCTAGGGGAATTGGCCAATTAGTTTCTAGTACCATACGCTGTAGTCAATGTAGAGGAATGTCTAATTTATTTTGTTGTTTAGCATCTATTATTTATAAATATGGAACGCTTCAATCTCGGAAACCATCGGAGCACCATTTATAAGCGCATCCAGCGTAGAAAACGGGCGTATCGCGAGGCTTTTCCAGATTAGGTGACAACGGTGCCCTCAACGCTGTTGTTGCCGATGAATCTCGGGATTCTTCGGACCTGGAACCAGAGATGCCTGTACTTACCGCAGACATTCCTTCTGGTGTGTATTTTTGGTGCATAAGTCACATATATGATATACTATCAGGAGAATATGATGAGGCCATAACCGCGCCTGAGTGCTCCTTTCTGTATGCCATACGAGCGTTTTGCGTACATCGGAAACTCAACCATTTTCATGTTTAAGGCGTCAACTTTGGAAAACACTGCGCTTTTTGCTTCACTTAGTGACATTCTTTGTAAATAATTTACAACTACTTCTACCTCACACCTCTTTAAAATACTTTTTCGGAGCAATAAGGTTTTTAACTTTTCTTTTTCCCGTTTTGTTTTTAATGTAACTGTATGACTGCACCTTTAAAGTCCGTTCTGAAGCCCAGGAAACTATTGTTAGGCAAAGTAATGAATTCAATAGGCGCGCCTATAAGAAGATTACGTAAGGCCGCTCGATATTCCTCATTACGGTTTCCCTCAGTAAAATGTTAGATAATTTTGAAGCAGTTTATCGGCAAGACATTGACTGGGTACGGAAAGGATACCTCCCTTCCCTTGTGATAGGTTATCATAGTACAAAACCGCGCCTGAGGGCTCATTTCTGCATATCATAGTACAAGACTTGACACGCTTGTTAAGAGCGTTGATCACATTGCTGCGGAGCACAGTGTGCTCCACGGCAAAGTTGAGAAAGTTGGTGCTGCTGTCGTTGACAGGCAGTGTTCAATTCCGACATGCTCGATGGCAGCACTGGGGCGTTTGCCATTTTGCTCAAAAGAGAGCCTCACTCATTTCCTTGAACACTTTAAGTCAAAAAAAAGACTGTCTACAGCAAACGGTACACTCGTGTTCAAATTCACTTCTAACTGGTTACTTACAGGTCGACGGCTTAATGAAGGTTGGCGGACGCAACGAAAAGGACCTTTATTGAGAATTGGGAATTTTGGGGCCGCCCATTATTTTCCAATTTACTTATTCAAGGGCTTCTAAAAGCAAAATGTCCTTTAGTGGAAGCTTCTTGCATGCCGTTCAGAAGCCGTCCGACAACATCCACATTTACGGAATGTTGACGAAGAGGTCCTTCGGAACACCGTCATAGAATGGTTTCACGGGTCTCGGGACCGCTATGGTAGGGTCCGAGGGAAACGGAAGGATGTTGTCCAGGGAGGCGCCCTAGACTTCCTGAACTCCGAGGACACGGTAAGTGTCATCGTACTTGCATATCTTCTCTGTTAAGTTCACTTGCTTACTATTCACAGTTATCTAATATTGCGTTTTCTGTTATTTTAGGAACCCGCAGAATATGAGGCAGGCTCTTCACACTATGAACACCCTTTTATAACTGAACCAAACAGTGAACAGTGAAGAGTCCGAAAAATTATTGTACATATTATATTTTCTAAAAATAGTTTTTTTTTAAATGAATTATCAATTTTCCACACTGCGCGCCTTGTGATTTCACGAAACAACCAATGGGGATGCTTGGAGAGACATGAGGCTAAAAATGATTAGAGTAGGACGGCATGCTGTCCAATTGTTTTCCAGGGGGCAAACGGGTTGAAATCCCCGTCCTAGGTGGGGGTATAGGCCCGTTTACCTCCCGCCCCAAGTGGGGCAGGGTATTTACAGGGTGTCCATAAAGT